ACACCCACACTTCCTTCACGCTTATACAGGAAGGGAGGTGGGAGTTATGAAAGAGCTGTAGGTATATACAGTACACAACTGAACAGGGCTTGACATTAACTTTTTTGATCATTGAACGTGTTTTTGTACGAAGTACTATAATTATATGAGTTAATTAACTGACTGTTATGGTTAATTGTAGGCATTGGCCGGTATGACATTTTGACGGTATGACAACCTTGGATAAAAATATTACGGTTTTACGCTTTCACTGTATCGTGCTCACTGCTCAAAAATAAATTATTTTTAAATGTCTGGGTAAAAAACTAAAACTTTTTCCCCATATATATATATATATATATATATATATATATATATATATATATATATATATATATATATATATATATATATATATATATATATATATTCTATTTTGAAAAGATTTTTAAGATTTATATTTTAGAACAGTAAACATGTCAGGCTATATAATTCAAATGAATCATTGACTTCTGTTGTTTTTGTTTCAAACACACAGATTTCTTTTGTAATTTAAAACAGTATCTTTGGATAATTTTTCTGCTGGAGATCCTGATGTCCTAAAAAACTAAATAAAAAAGTATTTAAAAAATCTTATAGATATATGAGGAAGGGTATTACATAAAATTTTGTCGGTTTTAAAACCTTGACCTTTCCAAACCACTTTATCTTTGATATCTTGAAAACAGTTATCGTCCCATGCCCAGTTAATTCCGTGTAATTATGCATAAGCTAATTGTTTCTTTAGGCCAAGTAATATATACTTTGAAAAGGACTTGAAAAATTGTATTCATTCATTTTCCTTCTCCTTAGTCCTTTATTTATCAGAAGTCACTGCCAATATGCTGCAATAGCTGACGGAATCAACCACCAACTATTCCACCATGTGCTTCCAGCCGCAACCCAGTACTGGGAAACACCCACATAGGCTTAATTACACACTGACCAATACAGCTAATTTTGTTTTATCAATTCACTTATAGCACATGTCTTTGGACTGTGGGGGAAAGTGGAGAACCTGGAGAAAACCCATGCAAACACAGAGAACAGGCAAACTTCACACAGAAATACCAACTGGCCTAGCCAGGACTTGAACTAGTGACCTTCTTGCTGTACTACCGTGCCTATCATTGATCCACGCCTGAGAAAGCTTGAATAGCATGAATAAAGTCATGTTTAGATGAAGGCGGATGTAAAGGTAGAATGAGTGCAGGGTGTTCCTTGTCAATTATGTGATAAGTAGTTGGGGTTAAGCCCTGCTTACACTGTGAGATTTCAGTTATGATTTTGTCACCTGAGACAAATTTCGGAAATCCAAAAGTATTCCTGAAATCCTAGGCTAAAATCGGTGATCATTGATTGTTGGTTTGAAATGTTCACAGACAGCCTTATAATGCCTGTTGCGATCAAATTTTTCCTCCGATGAAGTTCTGGCAGTGTCAGAAGATTTCAGACAGTTTCCTGCAGTGTGACATCACCTGCGATGAGCTTCAATCCAAGAACCAATAAGAGCTCCGAATTTAATGACGCAATTCATGCGACAGTTCAGTTGACCGCAGGGAAATGTCAAAACAGTTTTTTTCTTCCTGGTTTTATTATTGAAACACGCTGTAGGCAAAATTGCCGCTACAGATTGTGTACATTCGCTGTGAGGCATCCTTTCAGATTGCGACATAGTGAAAGTGTCACGGGTAGATGAGGTAAAACTCCAGTGGCGTTTTCTTCTGTGTTTGGCGCATCTTCATTGTCATTCAGTCTGACTTTATGGAAGCTGAGATCTTACAGTGTGACATGATGTTCATGCAGTCTGACATGCTACAAACATTCAAGATTATAAAAATAATAAAAAATAAAAGAAATAAAAAATTAAATTTTAAATTTAAACACAGTCCAACAGTGATGAATAGGGTGGTGCTGGAGTGTCCTGGATGGCACGGTCAGAAGCCACAGAGAGCTGGGAGGACAGGAGACTGAGCAGTGATGGTAAGGCCAGACAGGAGGTGGTGAAGGCCTTGGATGAGGCACTGCAGACCAGAGATCCTGGAGAGTTGTCATCTGACCAGTAGTAGCCTGACTAGTGCACTAGTGATGCGTGGATGGCTGTTATATCTGCAGGTTGGGTAATGAAAAAATTTGATATGATTAATTGCGGGTGGGTTGTGGGTGGATGAAGCAGGACATGGCAGTGGATCAGCAAAAAAGCAGAGAGTGGGCTTTGCAGAATGGGAAGATGAGACGCCCAAAATAATGGATGAAGTGCAAGAGTACTGTTTAAACTTTCAGTTAAAGGAGTCATGAGAGGAAACTCTGCTATCGTTCTGAGATAAATAAAATAGCTTATTTACACGACTGCAGTGCCTTGCGAGGAGAATCTTGTTAATTTCTACAGCAAGTGGTGAAAGTGAATGCTCATTCAGTGCAGCTGGAGGCGAGGCAGAGTTTAGGCACAGTAGATGCTATTCTGTTTTAGCACAGTGCAAAGAAAAAGGCCAAGTAAACACAACATAGCTGCCGTTTAGGCTAAAGTGGTACCCTTTTGTTATCTTGTTCCTGTATCTGTAAAAGATAAGATGTCTTATTTTTATTTTCTGTATTTGAAAACAAAGAAAATATTGTGCAAAGACCAACTTTAGTTTTTATTAATAAATATTCACTTAATTTTTACGATTAACGTAGGCTATTATTTTACTACCTGAGATGTGCAGATTAGCTCACTGAATCTGCTGTTAATATCTAAAGTGACCTACAGTATCATCATGCCTAAAACAAAGAATTCGACTTAAAAACGTTACAATCGGGTGCGGTTTATATATATATATATATATATATATATATATATATATATATATATATATATATATATATATATATTGTGGCGAGATAGAGAGAACACACGCAAGCAGCGGTATATTTTCACACTTTGCCCCAGAGAGTGATTTATTTACAATCGTACTGAGAGTGTATGGCGGAGCGATCGCTCGGTCTTCTGGCCGGGAAGAGTGTAGGGGTTCCGGGGTAAAGGGTGAGGCCGTGCAGGTAGGAGAGAGAGAGAGTGGTGATGGTGAGCTGCTTAAGTCCGCTGTGGGAGAAAAGAGACACAGGTATCAGCCAGGGAGTCATTTGAGTAAAAATGAAGCTCTCAGTCTCTGGGTTGGTCGCGGCTTATATCCGTGTCTCTTTATGGGTCTCAGCTGTGTTTGATTTGGGTTGATGATGAGGGAATTGGTGTGGATCCGGGACCACGGTGACGTTGCATCGGTGAACTCGCCGCATTTTATATATATATATATATATATATATATATATATATATATATATATATATATACATATATATATATATATATATATATATATATATATATATATATATCAGATAAAGGTATATGTGCGGGAGGGTGGATGATTAGTATAAAGCCAGAGGGAACTAAACTAAGAAATAAAACCATAAAATAAAATATCAAAAAGGGAAATACTGAAAATAAAGAAAAGAAATTAAATTAGATTTAACTTTTAAAATAAAACAGGAAAAAATTACCAGAAACTAAACACTTAAAGACACTAAATTAAATAAACAATAAAAAGAGTATAATTACTTAAACAAAAAAACTATAAAAGGATAAACTGAATAGGTTAAACAGTAGAAGTCTACAGACAAAACAAACACATACAAACATGAGACAAAGCACAAAGACAGCTCAAACAGCCACACAGAGAAAAAAAAAACAGTCAAGTAATCAGCAGCAAACACAAGTAAAATGTACTGACTATGTTTACATGGACATCAGTAATTAAATTATTTGCCTTAATCTCATTAATTTAATCATTTTCTTGTCGGCTTAGTCCCTTTATTAATCCGGGGTCGCCACAGCAGAATGAACCGCCAACTTATCCAGCAAGTTTTTACGCAGCGGATGCCCTTCCCGCCACAACCCATCTCTGGGAAACATCCACATACACATTCACACACACTACGGACAATTTAGCCTACCCAATTCACCTGTACTGCAAGTCTTTGGACTGTGGGGGAAACCGGAGCACCCGGAGGAAACCCACGCAAAGAGAACATGCAAACTCCACACAGAAACACCAACTGAGCCGAGATTCGAACCAGCGACCCAGCAACCTTCTTGCTGTGAGGAGACAGCACTACCTACTGCGCCACTGCCTCGCCCCTGCCTTAATCTAATTTCATGTTCTAGTTTCATGTCATTTAAGGTGTTTCATATTTAATTTGTCGACTATGCCTAAAGGTTTAAAAAAAGCCTATATATCAAAGAAGATGGACAAATGAGAACCTTTCTGTCATAAACTATAGTAAAACAGCTTGTCAAAAGCTGCAAACAGATTAGATACAGGAATATCAATTTTAATTTTAATTAACTTTAATTATCAGCTGTTAGTCAGCGCCCGCTCTTTTTTTTCCTGGTCATTGCGCCTTTGCCTTGTGCAGTGTAAATGCAGCCTAAAGGCTGATTTGTACTTCTGCGTCAAACACCGGCATAAGATACGGCGCTGACGCATAGCCCTTCGCCGTGGCCGTCAGCGTCACTGACGTGCACATCTCAAAAAATTTAACTACATGTCGCAACAACGCGTAGCGCAAGCTCTGTGGTTGGTCGGCTTGGTAGCGCTGACGAGTCTGGGCGGGACCGAGAGCCGCGCGAATGGCGCGAGCCGGGAGCAAGCCCAATGGAGCGATTGTTTACAATTGTGGAGTCCCGTGAAGGAGCTCTGGATGGAAAGTTTTGTTTTGTGTTTACCTCATAGTTAAAGTTGTTGCACGTATGCCGGTTCCTGCCTCAAAATGAGCAAGTTTGAGCCACTTGTACATCCAGGAAGTGTTCAGGAAAAGCAAAATAGCAGCGAAGAAACTCGACACAGAGGAACATTTACACCTCACTGCCAACTAGCGTTTCGGAAGTGTAATCCAGACCAACAGAGACAGCAAGCAGAAGTATAAATGCACAGCTACGGGCGTTGCATGCGCCGATGGTTACGCCGGTCACTTGACGCAGAAGTATAAACCAGGCTTAACAAGGACTAGATGAGGGCTAAACAAGGGGGCGTGGCAGCTGGAAACAAGGAAGGAGGAACAGAGGAGCACATGCCAGACACAAACACAGGTTAAGCCATGTGCTCAGACACAAGTTAAACACAGACACATTGAACAAGGATAACACAGACACAACATGGTACATAGACATATGACAGGAAATCCTAATATCAGTAATCAAGATTAATCAAGAAATCAAGATTAGATATAAATTTCCCAAACTAATAATGTTTAATCTGCAAAAACCTTTGGGTTTGTGTGATTTAATTTGATTGAGGTGATATTTTGATATTTGGTTTAGTCCCACTTTCCGAGTGCATGTTGTTTAATAATGTTTTTGTTACATTCCACAGTGATTTTCTACCGTCAACAATAAATGAATTCACATTTTCACCATGACATCCATGAATACATCATATCAAATGGTGAACTTCTCCTGTTCCATCAATATGACTGACTGGGAAACAGCCATAAACCATCTCTACACATACTTTTACCTGATTATCTTCATTCCAGGAGTGCTGAGCAACACACTGGCTCTTTGGGTGCTGTGTCGATTTGTAAGGTCAGCAATTCATGATTGATAAAACTTGTGTTGTGTTGGAGGACTATTGTTAGGCTTCTTCTACTTCTTTTTCTGTCCTAAAAGTGCAGTCCATCGTGAACATATGCACAGCACTTCACATTTACCACATGTTGTTATGGTTAAGCTTTATTCAAAAATATATTCAATCCTTTATATTTTTCCACATTGTACAACCAATAAGGACAATGTTAAAAAGTTTTCTGTGCAAATTTATTAAACACTTAAGTTGAATTCCTATTATTAACTAACAGTTTTGTAGTGTGATACTACAAGTATACTTAGCAAAAAAAGTTTTCAAAAGAACTTAAAACAAAGTGTGCTGTTTGTAGCCAATTCGGAACAATATGGCATTATTCAGCATATTTGTACTTAGCAGTTGTATATTTATTGTATGTGCAGTGCATCAGGAAAGTATTCATAACCCTTCATTTTGCCCACATTCTCCTATGTTACAGCCTTATTCCAAAATGGATTAAATTCACTTATTTCCTCAACATTCTACACACAATATCCCGTAATGACAATGTGAAAAAATATTTTTTTAAATTGTTGCGAATTTATTAAAAATAAAAAACTGAAAAATCACATGTACATAAGTATTCACAGTCTTCGCCGTGAAGCTCTAAATTGAGCTCATGTACATTTTGTTTCCACTGATCATTCTTGAGATGTTTCAGCGGCTTAATTTGAGTTCACCTGTGGTAAATTCAGTTGATTGGACATGATTTGAAAAGGCATACACCTGTCTATATAAGGTCCCAGGGTTGACAGTGCATGTCAAAGCTTAAACCAAGCATGAAGACAAAGGAATTGTCTTTAAAACTCCGGGATAGGATTGTTTTGAGGCACAAGGCTGGGGAAGGTTACAGATAAAATTTCTGTTGCTCTGAAAGTTCCAATGAGCACAGTGACCTCCATCATCAGTAAGTGGAAGATGTTTGGAACCAACAGGACTCTTTCAAGAGTTGGCCAGCAATCTAAGCTGAGTGATCGGAGAAGAATGGCCTTGGTCAGGGAAGTGATCAAAAACCCAATGGTCTCACTGTCTGAGCTCTAGCATTCTTCTGTGGAAAGAGGAGAACCTTATAGAAGAACAACCATCTGTAAAGCAATCCACCAATCAGGCTTGTATGGTACAGTGGCCAGACAATAGCCACTCCTTAGTAAAGAGCACATAAGCCCACCTGGAATTTGCCAAAAGGCATTTAAAACAAAATTCTCTAGTCTGATGAGACTAAAATTGAACTCTCTGGAGTGGATGCCAGGCGTTACGTTTGGAGAAAACTAGGCACCGCTCATCACCAGGCTAATACCATCCCTACAGTGAAGCATGGTGGTAGCAGCATCATGCTGTGGGGATGTTTTTCAGCAGCAGGACCTGGAAGACTATTCAGGATAGAGGGAAGGATGAATGCAGCAATGTACAGAGACATCCTGAATGATAACCTGCTTCAGAGTGCTCTTGACCTCAGACTGGGGCGATAGTTCATCTTCCAGTAGAACAATGACCCAAAGCACACTGCCAAAATATCAATGGAGTGGCTTCACAACAACTTGGTGAATGTTCTTGAGTGGCCCAGCCAGAGCCCAAACCATCCTATCAAACATCTCTGGAGAGATCTGAAAATGGTTGTACACCGTGGCTTCCCATTCAACCTGATAGAGCTTGAGAGGTACTGCAAAGAGGAAAGGTAAAAGATTCCCAAGGTGTGTCAAGCTTGTGGCATCATATTCAAAAAGACTTGAGGCTGTAATTGCTTGTAATGCCAAAGGTGCATCAACAAAGTATTGAGCAAAGGCTGTGAATACTTATGTACATGTGATTTTTCAGGTTTTTTATTTTTAATAAATTTGCAAACAAATTAAAAAAAAAAAATTCACATTGTCATTATGGGGTATTGTGTGTAGAATTTGGAGAAAATAAATTGATTTAATTCATTTTGGAATAAGACTGTAACATAAAAAAAAATGTGTGAAGCGCTATGAATACTCTCCGAATGCAATGTATACATTAATAATGTATTTGTAAAGTACTTGTAACACAAATGAAATACATTAATATCACTAATCAAGCACGTAATGAACTTTCACAGGCATATTCTTACCATGTACTTACAATTAAAACCACCAGATACACTAAAAGTTATGAGTTACTGTAATTTAATTACAATTACAATATACCTAGAACCAAATTAGTTCTTCCAAAAAAGGATTAGTTAGCAAAGTTAGCTAATTAATAACACGTTTGAAGATATTCTTTACTGACAATTAGTCCGGCTTTAAGAATACTTAGCATATTTGTTTTGTGATTTGTGCATTAATGGATTTGCTCTTCAGTGTTTGGACTTTCAGCAGTGAAAACTAACCACGCTGAACTTAACTAAACTGAACTTAAACTCTCAAAACTAGACTGACACAGTTTCAATTTAATAGAACTTTTATGTTAAGCTGCTTTGACACAATCTACCTAGTAAAAGTGCTTTAGAAATAAAGATGAATTGAATTTGATTTTGATTGATTGGTTTGAATTTGATTGTTTTTTTTCACACAATGTTAGGCCTTAGTTCAAATTAAGGCATTTAAGCAGCTTTTATAACAATACAAATTTGAGAAATACATTTCTGGAGTGCATCTTGCAACACAATGACTGGCTTGTTTTACGATCTGTCACTGCACGTTATTTTTGTCCAGACAGCTCAACCACACAGTTTAGTCAACTGATAAAAAGCTAATGACACTTAATCACAGTTGTCATATACATGCATAAAACTCCTTCATATTCAAGACGTATCATGATTATAAAGGTGTCATGACTGTTTTCTGAACTCTCGCTTCAGTGTTCATCTAACAGTAAAAGTGCGTGATTTCTAAAGACCAGATGTTGCTTTTGGACACCTGTTGCTGTGACCTATTTCTGTTTCTCTGCTCAGTATTTCCTCTAAAGCCTTCAATTCTCTTTAATTCACAGCAAGAAGACGAAAGCCATCATCTTCATGATCAACCTGACCGTGGCTGACCTGGCTCATGTGCTCTCCTTGCCTCTTCGAATTCATTACTACATCCAACAGGACTGGCCTTTTGGCAACGAGTTATGCCTGCTCTGCTTTTACCTGAAATACCTAAACATGTACGCAAGCATTGCATTTCTGGTCTGCATCAGCATTCAGCGCTGTGGTTTTCTCATGCACCCGTTTCATGCTAGGCGCTGGAAGTCCCGCTATGACGTCTGCATCAGTATCACGGTATGGGTTGTGGTTGGTCTCTGCTGTTCGCCCTTCATTTTAATGAGGAGCAAATCGAATTCGTCACTGGGTAACAGAAGCTGCTTCAAAGACCTGCCAATGCGCAAGCTGAATTTTCAGTTAGCCATTTCTATGATGGCCGCCGCTGAACTCTTCGGATTTCTTGGTCCGTTATTCATCATTGGCTTCTGTAATTACTTAATAGAGAACTCTATGAGACAGCGGAACAAACAGCAGCAGTCTACTAGTGACACAAGAAAGGCCTTGCGCATGGTTAGAGTGTGCACAGGAGTTTTCCTCTTCTGCTTTGCACCCTATCACATCAACTTCCTCCTGTACCTGATGGTATCACAAAGCATCATAACAAACTGTGAAGCGAGTCAGGTCATCAAACAGTTTCACCCCATTTCTCTGTGTATGGCAAGCCTTAACTGCTGCCTCAACCCTCTTATCTATTATTTTCTGACTACTGAGTTCAAGCAGCAGCTCTCTCACCATGGCAGCTCAGTGCTTAGAGGACGACTGATGAGTATGGAGAGCACATCTTCATATAAGGAATGAGTGTTGCATAATTTGAAAATATACCTGTATATACATTTCTTTTTTGCTTGTGTAAAAAAAAACTGCATTATAAGTTGCTTTTAAACAGTGTACAAACTGAAGCCTGTATATTTTGGACTATACTTTGCTTGGAATATACAATTAAAAAAAAAATATCTGAAATAAATAAATAAGTAACAAAATAATAATGATGTCCTAAGTTGCATTGGTATATTAAAAAAAAAAAAAAAACGCATTGTATGGGTCAAAATTATTGCCTTTTCTTTTATGCCAAAATCATTGGAAAATAAACATGGAATCTCCTTTCACTGTTATCCTGATGACTGTCAAATTTATGTTCCCCTTAAAAGGACAGATGGCCTTCCTCTAAATCCACTGGACTCATGTATAAAGGACATTAAGGGCTCTATTTTGATGGTCCATCCGCAAAGCGCAGGGCGCAAACGCTTTCAGAGCATGTCAGAATCCACTTTTGCTAATATAAGGACGGAAAAATCCACTTAGCGCCGTGGCGCATGGTCTAAAAGAGTTGTTTTTTTTTCTTAATGAGTTATAGGTGTGTTTTGAGAATAAACCAATTAGAGTCTCATCTCCCATTCCCTTTAAGAGTCAGTTGCGTATTTGCTATTTACATGACGTAAAGTAAGTGAAAGTGAAAAAACTGAGCATTTCACTAGCAAGAAAGCAGTTAAACAGAGCATCTACAGCGCGAGAATGAGAGATAAATTATTAACTTTCACTTTCACTCTTGTGGATAAAGGGAAACCTTGTAGGCACAGACATCAATTAGCCTATAAATAATTAATTTCGTTTGTTAAGCGCAAATATTTGTTTTAAAACTATTTCTAAATTCAGTTCTAATTTCCAGAAAACGAATAAATAAACAATAATAATGAAGTGTGTTCAAAAACTTTAGTTATATCCAAATACTCATGCTGTGCCCCATATGTTCAAAAACCTGACAGGTGGGCAAATCTAAGCTTGTTTTTAATAAAACAAATATAAATATGGATATAATAAATAATACTGCTAATAATAACATTATACAAAAGCAAATTGAATGAACTGAAAAAGCCTCCCGAGATGAAGGCATGAAGGCAGTGGTTTTTATATTTATGTAGGCTAGAAAATAATATGTTTTGTAATATTTTAATCCTTTATATTTATATCCTATATATATTCTTATTATATCCTATATATATATATATATCCTTAATATTTTAATTCTTTTTCATATGTAGAGATATTTGCGTATTGCTCTACATCGTGTGTGTATTAAGCAGTGTGTAAGCGAGGCACACAACTAGTGCGCTTTGCGCTGGACAATAGACCAGCTTTGTTCTGGTTTAAAGAACAGACTATTGTAGTTTCTCAAAATAGCAACGCGTCAGCAACGTGCCAAAACATGCCTGCTTTTTTAGATCAAAAAGCCTATGGGCGCACATATGAGCGCAAATGCATATGCTATTTGAACAGCGTGGCGCAAAACTTCAAAACGACTCTTGCGCCAAGCTGAAACTAGCAAACAACTATTGTATCGCGCCTTGCGCCACATTGCGCCGGGTGTATGATAGGGCCCCATATCTTGGATGGCACTGAATTTTCTCCATTTTAATGATGCTGTTTGGCTCCAGTTCCAACATCGCTCATTCTGTATGCTTGAATAATCTTGAAGCTTTCTGTAAGCCAGAGATTGTGAACCTGGGTTTTAAATGGATCCTGAACTAATGTTTGAAAGCCAGATTCGGTCTGTTGTTCGCTCTAGCCTCTTTCACTTAAGACAACTGGCCAAAATTAAGCACGTTTTATCACACAAGCACTTTGAAACAGTAATCTATGATTTTGTAACCTCCCGCTTGGACTACTGCAATGCCCTTTATTGTGGGGTGAGTCAGTTTTCTATTTCTCGTCTGCAACTTGTTCAGAATACAGCTGCACGTCTTTTAACTGGCACACGCAAAGCACATCACCCCGATTTTATCTTCTCTTCATAAGGATTGTACAAATCTGATACCTGGTATCCTAAAAGTTTGGACAGGATGGTGGAATTTTTTCCCTTTCCAAAACCTAAAACCCAAGGGGAGAAATGCCAGCGTGGATCAAGCTGTGTGAGTGGCACTAAAGGAGCAGAGTTAAGTTGGTTTTGTTTTTGATAATCTTGACACATTTAGTGGTAGACTGATGACAATAACTCACACACCTCTTACCCTAAAAAATCTAAACTGTTTTCCTACAAAAATACAAACTGGTTATGTTTCCAGCTGTCTTTTTCTTTTTTTTTATTCTATATTAACAGCAATGCTCCGTTTAAGCCCTCGTCATAGTAGTCATTCTAATAGCAGTCATATTTCCATCTGTTTCAAGCTAAATTACGTATCAACAGTACAAAACCGAGATGTGATCACAATCTGAGCACTTGCGATCAATATATTCCCTCTCAACTGTTTTTCAGTCATTTATAACACTCATGTCCATATTAGAGCTACAGTTCACCAATGTTTTTGTCCGTTGTTTAGAGATTTAGTCATTATACTGGGTTACTGTCTGCTTTTATATTTGATGTCTGAATAATATTTGCTGGTAGGGAAAATCTAATTGTTCACTTCTGCTATTTATACTTTGATTTGCATTTCAATTTATTTTTTTTCTACAGAACTGCAAATTAGAATAGAAACTGAATAAAGATCACACAAACAAACTGACAGTTATAGCTACTGTACATTGTTATGGGTCAATGAGGGTAATATTTGACACAAATCCATCAGTTTCGCCTTTCTGGTTGTTCGTTTTATGAATAATTTACGTACATCACTGTCCATGCGTGTTACCTTGTCAGTTAGTAACGCTAGATTTCATTGCATAACAATTAGTCTATCATGCTTTGTAGCTATAAAAAAGAAATCACTGTTTTAATTTGTTATTATTGGATTATTTTTAAAGGGTCACGAAACACCAAAACACATTTTTTGAGCTGTTGACAGTCGTATATGTGTCCCACACTGCTAAAAACACTATTAAGACACCTATATTTCACTAAAAAGTGTAAATTGGTTGTTTTTGCGTTATTTCAAGCAAATTCGTACTTCCGGTTTGAAACAAATTTTTGAAGCTGCGTCACGGCCATGACATAATAGCGTTGTATTCCAGCGTGCAGACTGGGCGTCTGTGCCAGAGTGTGTCTTATTACGTCTTACAGTGTGATGCATTAATGCATGAGTAAGGCTTGGTTCAAACCAATCAGCGCGCTCTATTGTGCAACTTCATTAATATTCATTACTGTCACAGTGCTTACGACACTCACACCACGTTGTATTGGCAAAACAAGTGTGAAGTGTTGCTTTTGTAGTTTGCTACAGTTAAGTTTCGTTTTCATTTTCTCTCTGTGAGAGCTCAGACTCACGTGTGGATTACTGTGTACGCGACGCTCGACAACAATAACTTACGTGTCTAAGGAGGAACATTGTTTACCTGAGAGCTGTTCTCATCTGCAAACGATGAGATCCGGATTCGCTTGTAGTCTTCTCTTCATAAAGACATGGCTCTAGTTGCTGGTGATTGTCCTGTCTCTACAGATTTGGTAAGTGAGCGAGCAGTGCTCTTTGTTTATTCAGTTTGTTCGTATCGAACAAACTATTGCACCGAGTGTAAACATGTTAGCACCACAACCAAACCAAACCAAACATTGCATGAAAAATACACGCTTAGAGCAGTTCCTCGAATCAAATATCTCGTTTGTCGCGAGGGGCATGAATGAATTCCCTGAATGAAAGAGCCAAACTGCAGTTAAAGTCCACCATTTAATAATTTGGCAAATAATTCGACTACACATGTCCATGTAGGTTAAACACCATCACTTTCTCCTGTGTGTTTGTGTGTATTTTTGCGCGTGCTCAAATAGACACTCCCACACCATCCCACTTTTCTTCCTCCGACACTCCCCCCTAAACTGAGCTGGACACGCCCACTTTTCTGACTTTTTCAATGTAGAGGTGTAAAAACACCCTGCTGAAACGAGGGGGTTTCATGGCCCTTTAAACCTCTCCTGCTGTGCATGAACTAAGTTCTTGATTGGTCAGCGGGTGAGGCGGCTAGGCTAACCTAGCTTCAATTTTGATTAAGTTATTTTCTAATCTTCTGCGTATTAAGTCGTGAATATACCCCTGTAACGCATACTGCAGTACTTTTTTGTTTGGCTTTCTCGTATTTCTCACCTGTTTGCCAAAAATGACTAAATATATCCCTGGCAATGTCTGACACTGGCTCTTTCATATTGTAATAGACGTGCCAGGCATGAAAGCTTGACAGGCGTAGCAACAGTAACTAAGGAGGGCGGGGCTTAGCGAAGGGTCAATTCAACACTTTGATCTAATGGTTAATTCATAAATAAAAGTAAATAAACATGCTTGCATGTGCCACTAAATTCTGAATGTTTGTATGCATGTCTTGAGCAAAAACAGACTACTGAAAGTCTGAACATATACAACGGCAGAATCAAAAGCAAATGAAAACTATAAGAGCATTAATCTACATAATTTATTTAGATTTTTTTACAATGCATACTGAGATTTTCAATAGTATCTGGATGCAGCCTTTATGATGCAAGCTGAGATTGCATCACTCAGCGATGCAATGTCAGACACAATGCACTCAATAGAGTTAGTGACGTCACTGTGACGGGTATAGGGTTAGGGGTGGGGTTAGGTGAGCGCGTTAAAAAGCATTGGATGAAGCTCAGATTGCACTGCACCGAGTCTGCAGCCAGACCCCTCTCGAGATTTTTGTACTGTGCCATACCCAGCATGCATTGGAGCATGGGGCATTTTAATTTTTACTATTGTGGAGGGTCAAGGTTTTATTCATGTGATCTGAGGGTGTCTTCATAATAACTGAACTGTTTTTTTTTTTTTTTAACTCCGTGAAAGAACTAGTTACATTTCATGTATATGCTTGTCATTAATAAAGATATGAAACTTAGTGTAGACAGTTAAAAAACAGCAAAATATTGCATAAGATTAATCAGTCACACCTTTAAATAAACATATTGTAATCAGAGCAAAACTAGATTAATTTAACAATTGATTTTTTTTATTTTTTGCTATAAAAAAATTGTTATAGCCAGAGGAAAAACTAAAATTAAAAAGTCATGAGTGAAGAGCCCAACTAAAGCAACACAAAGTCAACA